AGAGAGTAAACAAGGTGTCATTCATTAGAATCTACGTGGTTATTCTTCTTAGTATATTAACAATGCCATGCAAAACTACCGTGGCAGTAAGAATTCACGAATTTTTAGGGTGCGAGAACACTCGGACAAACTCAATATTTTTCGCATGAGCATTGTGAGAAGAAATTAAAATAAAATTTATTATCCGAAGGAAGTAGCAAGAAAAACACATGTTGGAATCCCTAGACTCTTGTGGAAAGAATCTAAAGAGGACGAAAGTTGTTCGAAAAATGGAAAGAGCAAGCATAGAACTATTTTCGAAGACTTTTGATAATATAGAACGAAAAACCACCGAAGTTTTTTTTTCACAAATTCAGATATATCTATCGCGAAGCCTTTTTAGTATCGTAGTCTGTGCCATCAGTTCTTGTGACTTCTGCCACTACATATACACAGGAAACTTGCCAGGAATCCACAAAATTTATTCCTAAAGTCATGGGATCTATGTTTAAGGAATTTAGGGCAGTGCATCGGTTTTGTCACTACAAATACATCACAGGTCAAGTACATGCATTTTCGAAATTTCAATACGTATTATGAATTGCAGATTCTTAGCAGTCCAGTGATGTTTTCAGTTTCTTCTGAGAAATATTCCGAAAAAAGTCGTAGCTTTCGACACTTTTTTCACGACAAAGCAGCTACGGAAAAATTTGTCGCGATGTGTTTTTTCACAAAAGTTTGGAGCGCAACTCTATATCCAAGAAAATCATTGATGCTTGAATTTGCAAATCTTTTGCTATAATACCGAAAAGAACTCGAAATTTATGGCATTATTTCAAAAAACAGAGTAAAATGTACAGGACTCCTACCAAGCATTTGCTGTCTTCTTCCTTTTCCAAAACTTGGAACTCAAGTAGATCGTGAGCTTCACGCGATGCGCACAGCTCTCTATCCATCTCTTCAATCTGTTGTTCCAGTTGTTTTATGCGTTCGGCTTGCGAGGCCACGACGGTTTTCAGTTGCCCCATTTGTGAAATCTGAAAAAAAAACTTTGCGAATAGAATGTCATTCAAACTCTGGGAAGACATGAGCTCTGACTCAATATAACAATACCGCCTCTTCATAAAATTACAGAAAACTGAACATTTTTCATCTATTTTTTCATTTTCTTCCTCTTATGGAGTAACACCATCTGTTTCTACTATTATGTAGATTGATGCACAATTTTTGCACCATATCCGAGGTAGTTTTCTACCACACATTCCAGAAAATCAATTTGAAACATGAAAATATGTCAATTAATCGAAATTCAAAATTATTCGAAGAGGACTCCAAACACTACCGCTTCTGTCAAAAAGAGTGGTTCATGAAACAAGACGAAAATTAAGTTTGTTAAATTTACAGCTTGTTTTAACAACTCTGGCAAACAAAATCTGAAAAGATCAATTTTTTCTTATTCCTCTTATTCAACTTGTATCATTACTTTGTGCCAATAAAAATTGTGTTTCCAGCATATTTTTGCAAGTTTCTTCTTTCTATTATGTATTAGTTCAGAATATTTTACTTAAGCTGGAGAAAGTAA